AAAACCAAGATTAAATAAGCAAAAACCAAAAAAAAAAAATAATAATAAATAAATAATAAAAGAGATCCAGACAAAGCTAAGACAGATAATACAAGGAGTGGAAGAACACTTCCAAAAGTTCACATTTACGGAGATGGTCAAGAGACCACCAGCCATAAAAGAACACGATGCTATGGCAAAGAAGTCATCAAGGGAGCAAAGGTCTTGGCAATGAAAAATATGATGCAATGAAAAAGTTTAATTCAGTAGAAATGCTGGCAATCTAGAAATGCCTTCCAAATGTAGAAAGAGTAGACAAAAAATTCGAAAGAAAAGGTAAGTGATTCAGAGGTTTAACCTAGGACATGATATATGCCCAAGAAACTTTCAGAAAAAGAGAACTAAGAAAACAGAGGGAAAGAAACTGCCAAAGAAAAAACACAACTAAATTCCTCAAAGGTGAAAGGCACAAATCCACAAACCAAAATGGTCTGATCCCAAATCCAGCCCAGGGAAAGCAGAAATAAAAATCCATACCTAAGCACATTAGGGTGGAATTTCAGAGATAAAGAGGAAACACTCGAGGTAAAGTTAAGTAAAAACGTATCTACAGAAGAACACACATCAGGTCGCCACCTACTTCTCAGTTACAACACTGACTCTAAGAGTACAATATCGTCAAAGGACTGAGAAAACAATGACTTTCAGGTTACCCAGACAAATGATCCATTTGGTATTAATGCAAAACAAAGTCATGCTCAGACATACGAAGATTCCTAAAATATATCTCCAGAGAAACACAATCAGGACAGTGTGTCTGCATGAGACCTAGAAGGAAAACACTTCACGAAGAAAAGAACAATCACCTGTGTCCTATGTTGTTAAAAAGTTGAGTAAGCCCGTTGGCAATGAGGTGGTTAAGGCACTGGATCCCACATGGTCGACTCTGCAGTTTGTATCTTGGACCTAGTGGCCTGAAAATCATGCTGACACATGTGCATGCATGCCCAAAATCCCAGGAGAATGAAGGAGAAGGGATTGTGGCATGGCCATCCCCCTCTGGGCATGGCCTTTCCTCTCACTCTCTCTTTCTCTCTGGCAGGTGCACATGCTCTAGGGCAAAAACCTTAAAAAATAAATAAATAAAAGGTAGAGAATAGTAAATGACCGAGGCAAAGGTGTGAAGGTCTAGACTGGCATGGAACAGATAGGGAAGAGCAAGCGGCTGGAACAGAATGTCCATACGGGGAGGAGGTAGCAGACTACGCCAAAATATACCAGGGAAGAGCTTTGCATATGATGGTAGGAAGTTTGACCTCTGGGACTGGGAACTATTGAGACTTGACATGCAGTTGTAAAGCCAGCCTGATTCTACATGAGGTTCATCTGAAATGTTTAGCAAATAACTTCTATATGCGATTTAATTATCATACATGCACATGCACTAAAATCCTAGCTACTACCATTATTCTGTAAAGAAAAACCAGGTATCAGGAGAGCAAGACAGATGGCCTGAACCAATTGTTAATTAACACTGCCAATGAACGTTAATGGTAACATTTGGGCTATTCAAGTTTCATTAAAATTGTATCACAAAGTTAAGGCATTAGAAATAATAATCGACAAAGAGAAAATAGATAGACTATTCCTTAGATCAATTTTTAATACTGAAATAGAAGGTAAAGGCCAAAATAACAAGTTTAACCAATAAATCCATTGTTAACTTTTTCTTCCGGGAAACTTAGATTCGACTCCGAGGCAACGTGCCTCACTATCACCCGGACACGGCCTCAGGTGCTGGAAGAGGACGCTGTAACTCACTTCATTTAGTTTTCTCTGCAGATCTTTGACTTGATGTGAATATTCTTCCAAAACACGTTCGATATGTTCCTTTCCAGGGTAAGGGATGATTTTCCTGTGAGGATCAAGTTCCACTTCATATTTAGGGAATAAAGGAATCTGTGTCAAAGTCCCAGGTGAAGATGTGTTTTCAATGATCGTACCACGAATAGGTGACACAAAAAATGGGCTTGACGAACCTAAATGTTAAAGAATTCATTCATTAGTTTATTCCTCTTTGCAGCAATCCTTATGCTAGGTGATTCTCTCACGAAATTCTGAAGGAGATGAAGGAAGGTCTCATGTCCTGGACAAAAGGCAAATAGGCAAGAACTTAGGCAGTAAAAGGAGAGTTGGAGCCCTGCTGAGCACAGGGTACAAAGGAGGGAGATCAGATGATGTTGCAGCTGAAGAGCCTTGAAGCGTCTGAGTGAGAGGAATCCCTCCCGGAGCACGGGGGAGGAGGACGACATCAACTGCAGCTCGAGTCCTGAACCTGGTAGCTTAAAAATCACCCTGGGTGTGTGTGCATGCATGCCCAAGATCCCTGGAGGAGTATGGAGGAGAAGGGATTGTGGCATAGCCAACTCCCCTGGGGGGCAGGGGTGGTTTTTCATTTTCCATCTCACTGTGTCTGTCTCTGAAACTTCTCCAAGAGAAAGGTAAACTGTTCTAGCTACACAGTCAAGTAAGATGGTCCAGAACTCCCCTCCAAAGAAATGAAACAAAAATTCAATCCAATCTTAGGGAGGGAAAAAAGCTAACTAAAATTTTTTGGGGGGAAAACTGGAAAAATTTAAATAGGAACACTTTAGATGATATTACATTGAGAGAACTTGTCTTAGATATGATAATGCAGTTAGGCAGGAAATCATCCTCATTCTTAGAAAATGCATGTTCAGGTTTGGGGACAAAAATCATGATTTTTTTTTTTTATAGAGGTTTTTACTATAGAGTGTGTGCGTTCACCAAAAAGACAGAGAGAGACAGAGAGACAGAAAGCGAGAAATCACCCCCAGGGGGGATGGCCACCCCGCAATCCCTGCTCCTCCATTCTTCTCTCGGGATCTTGGGCTCGCATGCACACGCACCCGGCATGAGTTTAAGCCACTGGGTCTGGGACTCGAACCACAGTCAACTACATGGGAGTCCAGTGACACAGCCATTACACCAACTGCTGGTCCCCAAAATCATGATGTTTCTAACTTATTTTCAAATAGTTCGGCAAAGTGAAATGAATACTATAGGCGTACAGATAAAGCACATATGATAAAATGTTGGTGACCGGTGAGTCCAGTTGAAGGGCATACAAGGTGGTCCCTGTTCTGTTCCTTAAATTTTTCTACAACTTTGGAAGATTCCAAAATAGTTATGGGGGAAGGGTTCACTGGATTTAGCAAAGCAGGGAAATCAGGCTGCACGATGCCCAGGATTATTTCAGTAAAATACTGAAATAGAAGGCAAAAGTCCTAAGGCAGTAGGTTATCGTGAATAAATGGTGAGGCAACACAGTGAATGCAGACTTTTCTTTCAGAAGGCACAGTTGTGAAGGAAAGGAAAGAGAAGGAAGGCACAGGGGGCCAGAGGGTGGCATGGTGGTTGAGGCACTGGACTCCCACAAGGTGGACTGCAGTTCAAGTCCTGGACCTGGTGGCTTGCTTACTCACTTTCTCTCTCTCTCTCTCTGGTGAGTGCATCTGCTCTATAGAAAATTTAAAAAAAAATTAATAAATTACATAAATAATTCTTTATAAAATAAAAAAGGCAGGCACAGGTTGAGAACAATTTTGTTGTGGTTTTGTGTGTTCCATGTATCTCTCGGTGTTTTTAGCTTGGTAAAGACTTAGCATGTTTTTATTGATGGACAGGTGCAAATGGAATGGGACAAACCAAAGATATCAGAGTGAGTGAGAGAATTTCTGGGGTAGATCAAGAAACATAGGAGGAAGAAAGTAGTCGGGAAACATCGTGGAATGTGCTGAGGTTGAATTGCCTCAACACAGAAAGGACTTTTAAACAAAAAAGGCAATAAAAGCAGAAGCTAAACAACAAATATGCTAATTTTTTAAATGAAGCAATTCCTTCCTCAAAAAAGCAGAATTATAAACAACATAGTACATGTCCATGACCCTGCAAAATCAAAAACAAAATAAACTAAAACACAGCAGCTTGAGTGACTATTCTCTAGCTTATTTAATTCTAATTTTTCCGCCATTTTTTCTCGTAAATAGTACATACCTCCATTGGATGTGATGCCACTACTTGATAAAAGATCTTCCTTATTTGATTCACAAGCTTTTGATCCCATATTAAATATTGCTACCTTTTCTTAGCGATCTTGAAATGTGAATGCGTCCCTGTTTGGTTCTTTTAGCTCTTGTCTACAAAAGCCAGAGATTTAGTCTTTGTTAATAAGGTACTATATGAAGAAAAAAAAAAGGTCATAGAACAGGAATTGATCCCATCAACCACAGTTTGAGTCCCGGACCCAGTGGCTTAAACTCACGACGGGTGAGTGTGTGTGTGTGTGTGCCCAAGATCCCGAGAGGAGAATGGAAGAGAAGGGGTTGCGGTGTGGCCATCCCCCCAGAGGGGGATTTCTCGCTTTCTGTCTCTCTGTCTTTCTGGCGAGCGCATGAGCCCTATAGCAAAAACCTCTCCAAAAAAAAAAAAAAAAAGACAAGAAAAGGGGAGGCCAGCAGGCAGTGTGGTAGTTAAGGCACTGGATTCCCATATGGCCACAGACCTGGTGGCTTGCATTCTCACTCTCCCCACCACCCTGCTGTCTCTCTCACTGGTAAGTACACGTGGCCTATAGCAAGTTAAATAATACTACTAATAATAAATAAAATTAAATAAATAATTCAAAATAAAGAAAAGAAGGAAAATGATTTTCAGATTGGCTCATTACAAAAAACTTATGCTGTGTAAAAGATGCATGCTTGAAACACACAGATTCAAAGCAAAAAAAAAAAAAAGGAATGAATGAAGATTTGCCAGGCAAATGAAAACAGCAAGAATGTATGGGTTAGGAGCCAGGTAGTCTTCGAGACGAAGAGCAGTAAACAAGACAAAGGGCACTTTAAAGCCACACAGCACAACAAAGATGTGACACCGCTGACCATCTATGTGCCACAGAACAAAGCAACCACTTCAAAAAAATACAGACAGTAACTAGAAACCATACAAAGAGACTTTAGCAGGCCACTAGGATGAGGACACATGAACAAAAATTAGGGTATAAAAGATTTAGATGAAGCAATCATTAACATAGGCTCCTGGAAATATACAAAATATTGCACTTTGATAAAAGATAATATACTTTCCTCTCAAGGACACATGATACATTTATAAAAATCAATCATCTTCCAGGGCACGAATAAAAGATCTGGAGGTTCCTCAAAGCAGAAATGTTACAAACAACACTTTCTGGTCACATGTTAATAAAACTGAAAATTGGAAATGAAACCTCAATGGGACCAGCAGGTGGTGTGGTGGTTAAGACGCTGGACAATCTCACATAGGTGACCACGTTTTGAGTCCTGGACCTGGTGGCTTGCTTTCTCACTTACCCTCCTTCTTTCTCTCTCTCTGTCTCTCTCTCTGTGACTCTCTCTGGTCAAATTAAAAATAAATGAATGAATAAATAAAAATTAAATAAATAATCATTTTTTAAAAAATTGATCAATGAATAAAATTAAATAAAATAATTCTTTTAAAAAAATGAAACCTCAAAACAAAAAAGAAGCCTTACACCTGCAGGTGGCATGGTGGTTAATGTGCTAAACTCCCACATGGCCAACTGTGATGCAAGTCCTGGACTTTGGGCTTGTTTTCTCACTTTCCTTTCTGTCTCTCTCTGGTAAGTGCATGTGACCTATAGCAAATTAAAAAATAGTATGTAAATAAATTTTAAAAGATCATTTATTAAACAAGTCTTTTGTGATAAAGAAAATACAGACAGAAATGAAAGCATTTCTGAATAATAATGATCATGAGTTCATTTTATAATAGAATCTGTGAGATTCATTAAAAGCAAGAAAAGAGAAAAATTCTCAGCCTGATCTATATCAATAAAAGTGAAAGAATGAAAATTAGTGGATTAGGGGCCAGCAGATGGCGTGGTGGTTAGGGCTCGGGGCACTCCCACATGGCCAACCATGGTTCAAGTCCTGGACTTGGTGGCTTGCTTTCTCACTCTTTCTCTCTCTGGCCAAATTAAAATAAGTGAATGAATAAATAAATAAAACTAAATTAAATAATTCTTTTTAAAAAAAGAAAATAAGTGAATTAAATCTCTCAACACAGAAAGATAAATAAAAATGTAAACCAAAAGAAAGCACATGTGAGTCCAACAGGTGGCATGGAGGTTAAAGGTGCTGGACTCCCACATGGCCAACTGAGGTTCAAGTCCCTGGCAGCTGGCTTTACTTACTTTCCCTTTCTCTCTCTCTCCCTCTCTGGTTGAGTTTAAAAATATTGATGGCAAGTAACATTCAATAAATACATAATTCTTAGCAGAAACAAATAGAAAGAATATTTAGGAAATAATAAAAACAAAAGCAGTAATTGAGACAGAAAATAAAAAGATAAAATAAATCAAAATCTTTGTTCTTGAAAAAAAAAAAACAAAATAATAGATGTGAGAACCATTAAAGTGATGAAAAGAGGAAGATCAAATACATTGTAACACACTGCTTAACATTTTTACATTAATTCATGAGGGTAAACAGCATTTAAAAAAAAAAAAACAAAAAAACCTGCCAGTTAAATGATGTGCTTATTTTTTTTAAAACAGAATTCCTTTTTAAAAAATAATTATTTATTTAATTTTATTTATTCATTCGTTTTAATTTGACCAGACACACAAACACACACACACAGAAAGAGAGAGAGAGAGAGAGGGAGGAAAAAAGCAAGCCACTAGGTCCAGGACTCGAACCATGGTCAGCCATGTGGGAGTGTCTAGCACCTTAACCACCATGCCACCTGCTGGTCCTAATGGAATTTCTTTTTACTTCACTCACAGTTTCTTATACTGAAGTGCCATCTGTCGAAACTAAAATTAAAGATAGATTCTACTGTAACATGTTTCATACTATCACTTTTAGGAACTAACTGGTAGGTAGAGAACCATCCATAAAGAATGATAACAAATGGAATGTTAGTCCAGATTGCTAGGCAATGTATACATTCTAAGTAGAGAGACTGCTATTTGGTGGAAAAACCTCATTTAAACAAGTTCCATCATGAACTTTTGTTTTGTTTTAATTTTTGCTATGGGAGACGTGTGATCACCAGAGAGGAGAGAGAGAGAGAGAGAGGACAAAAGAGAGAGAGTGAGAGAGAGAGAAATCACCCCCTCGGGAGGATGTCACACCTTAATCCCTTCTCCATTCTCCTCTCGGGATTTTGGGCACGCTCATACACGCCCCTGCCATGAGTTTCAAACCACTGGGTCCAGAACTTGAACAACAGAGTCTGCAATGGGGGATCTAGTTGCCTCAACTTCAATGCTACCTGTTGACTTCCATCACGAATGTTCTATAATTTTACTTACATGCTAAAATAATGCATTTTTGGATTCTTCTGGATAATGAATGACATTAAGAAAATTAAAATTACTGAAAAGTTACCATAAACTACAGGTAGATCAAAAGTATCAAGGCATGATCAGGACAGGTAGAATCATAATCCCTATTGGAAAACTTTATACTAATCTACTCTGCTCAATACCGAAACCTTAGATTCAAATATGAAACAGCCACTAAGAGCAAAGCAAGCAGATTTGAAACTAGACTTTGGAGGAGAAAGAAAAGAAGAAAGAAGAAGGTTTGACTTTAAGATAGTCTGATGTGAAAATCAGGCTTATTTTACTTTGACATAAAATATTGAAAGCAAAAAACTCATTAATTCAGTTCCTGTTTAGAGATTGGTAAACAGGGAGCAGCAGGTGATGTGGTGGTTAAAGTGGCTGGATTCTAACATGGCCGACTGTGGTTTGAGTCCCAGACCCAGTGGCTTAAAAATCACACCAGGTCTGACATGACACGTGCCCAATGACGAAAACCTAAAAAATAAATAAATAGGGACCAGCAGACAGCATAATGGTTATATTGTTGGACTACCACGTAGTCGACTGTGGTTCGAGTCTCAGATCCCGCATCTTGAAACTCGCTATGGGCACGTATGCATGCGTGCCCAAAATACTGACAGGAGAATGGAGGAGAAGGGATTGTGGCCTGGCCATTCCCCTGGAGGGTGATTTCTTGCTTTCTGTCTCTTTGTCTCTCCAGTGAGTGCATGTGCCCTACAGCAAAAAAATGCTCTTAAAAAAATAATCAGTCAATCAATTAATTAATTAAGATCGGTTAACAGGCCATTGGAAAGCAGCAGCCTTCAGAGGGGGATTTTTTTTTTCTTAGAAAATTAATGTTTTTTAAAAAAAGACCATAGGTTTATGTAAGAGATATTTTAAATCATTATAGCTGTTTTGTTTTTGTTTTTGTTTTTAACTTTGCCAAAGAGCCCATGTGCTCACCAGAGAGAACCAGATGGTCATGCCTCAATCCCTTCTCCTTCATCTTTCTCTCCCTCCTTTTAGGATTTTGGGGCACACGTGCACATGTACCCAGTGTGTTTCTCAAGCACTGAATCTGGGGCAAAGGTGCAGTTGACCGTGTGGGCTCCAGCTGCCTTAACCATCAGGTCATGGGTCAGCCCAATGTAAGAGTTTTTAAACACCAATTTATTTATAAAGAAGATGCTCAGTACTTCTATTTGCCAGTGCTGCTAAGTTATTTTATGTGCACTGAGGTAATGAAATTTGAATCTAAAGAAACATTTGTAATTCAGAACTGGACTATTGTAGATTGGCATGGCCTCAATTGCTCAAATTGTCATTCCTTTATTTTCAGTGACATTACAAATATTGAAATATTGTTGCAATCTGCATACATAAAGTTTAGGAAATCATTAAGGACTTCTGGAAGAAAGGTTTCTTGCCTCAATAAATCATAAAATTGTTAAAATTCTGCACTGGGGGGACCAGCAGGTGGTGTGGTGGTTGAGGCGCTGGCCTCCCACGTGGCCAACCATGGTTCAAGTCCTGTACCTGGTAGCTTGCTTTCTCATTTTCCCTCTCTCTCATCAGATTAAAAAATAATAATAAATAATTAAAAACAAAAACTCTCCATTTAGTTGATTTGGGGACCATAACCTACATATTTTAAATCTCTTGAGTAAAATACAGAGCTGAGATCTTGGCCTCTTCTGGTATGCAAAAACTCTATGTATGCACAATTCAGCCTGATTTAAAATTATGAACAAGTGTACACTGAAAGGAGTCTTACACTTTTGATAAGGAATGGCTATGCAAATATTCTAGTGATCTGGTCGGAATGTTGGAGAAAGGGCTTTAGAGACCACACACCACAAAGAGAAAACTGAAGGAAAACAGTTATAGGCCTTAGTGTTTGTTATATTGTTGAGCTGAAGGACTCACTATTAGGACGTCGGGTAAGTCATGAGTATTTCCCTTGTTTTTCTATGGACAACGCGCCATGACATTCCTGACAACCCAGTAGTATCTCCTGGGTTCTTACCCCTTGTGCTGAAAGGCAATGGCAGGTACACCTGCACTTTCCCGAGTGTCAAAAGTCCTCACCTTGCTTCCTTTCCTTGTGGCTGCAGCTTAAGGTGCATCTGTCCCATGACACTGATAGAATAAATACCTGTCTCCATAGAGACCGGATTTAGAATTGAAGCTGTATTTTGATTGGTTGCAGATTACTTACAGTGAATGTTCTATTTAGATTCCTCGATTCATCAGCTAATGACCTAACACTCCCAGGACGATGAACTATTCTACCTTCCACAGAAATCTGAGACTGGAGGGGCCAGCAGTTGCAACTCATACTTCTGAGTCTCAATGTCCACCCTTATTAAATGAGATTAAGTTGCATTTTTCAACGTTTTAAAATGGTGAAGGTCTTTGTTGTTGTTGTTGTTGTTGTTTTTGGAGAGGTTTTTGTTATAGGGTGCATGCGCTCGCCAGACAGACAGAGACAGAGACAGAAAGCGAGAAATCACCCCCCAGAGGGGATGGTCACGCCGCAATCCCTTCTCTTCCATTCTCCTCTCAGGATCTTGGGCACGCATGCACACACACCCGGCGTGAGTTTTAAGCCACCGGGTCCGGGATGCAAACCGCGGTCAACTACGTGGGAGTCCAGCGACATAGCCATTATGCTAACGGCTGTTTCCCAAGGTCTTTGTTTTTTAAAATTTTGACAGAAGGCACATGTGCTTGCTGGAGACAGAGGAAGAGAGAGAGAGTAAAAGTAAGAAAGCAAAGCCCATGGGAAACGGTCATGCCACAATCCCTTCTCTTTCAACTCTCCCTCCTCTTAGGATTTTGGACATGCTCACATTCAAGTCACACACTCACGCCATGCACCTATGCATGTTCCCATGCCCAGTATGTCTCTTAAGCTGCCGGGTCTCGGACTTGAACTGAACAGTCAGTCACGTGGGATCCAGCCACCCTAATCACCGCATCACAGGCTGGCCCAAGAGTGAATGCCTTTCTTCAAATATTCTGAGCCCCAGCTGTACCTCTATGGAATGTAGAAGGCGCTACTGACATAGTCTGAACACCACAGAGGTAAAGCCCTTGTAGTTCTTATATTTGAGTTATCCCATCTTATTCATTAATCAAGTTCAAGGCTTCAGGGCTTTTAAAAATAAAAGAGATGCAGATGGGACCAGCAGGTGGCATGGTGGTTTATTTGCTGGCCAAAAAAAAAAAAGAAAAGAAAGAAAGAAAAAAGAATAAATAAATAAAATTACATAATTATTTTAATAAATAAATAAATTAGATGCAGAAATAATAAATTAGTTTATCAGTTGTATATGTTCACAGTTCTTATATATAACTAGAAGTAAAACAAGAAATACCTTAATTTCCTGGATATTCTTATTTTTCACTTATTCTATAAACACCTGAAAAAAGCAGAATATTGAAAATCTGTTTATTAATGTATTTTATTACCTGAGATGAATTATTTTTAAAAAGTTCAATTCAAAAGTTAATTTTGATAGCCTGTGATCTTGACAATACCCAAAACAAATGTGTACAACAAAAAGAGCAACAACCCTGTTAAATTATTTTTCCTTTTGTATGAAAGTACACTTTTGCCATTAGGTGTGTGTGCTTGCCAGAGAGGAAAGAGAAATCACCCCCAGGGGGTCTATGGCCACATCGCAACCTCTTCTCTCCGAAATCGTCCTGGGGTGATTTTTCAAGCCTCCAGGTCCAGGACTCAAACCACAGTCGGCCCCATGGAAGTCCAGTGCCCTAACAACCACACCACCTACTGGCCTCTCAAAGTACCTTTTAATTAATAACCTAGGGACCAGTAGTTGGCATAATGGCTATGTCGTTGGACTCCCATGTAGTCGATGGTGGTTCAAGTCCCGGACCCGGGGGCTTAACCTGGGCGCATGTGCATGCATGCTGAAGTTCCCGAGAGGAGAATGGAGGAGAAGGGATTGCAGTGTGGCCATCTCCCCTAGGGGATGATTTCTCGCTTTCTGTCTCTCTGTCTCTCTCTGTCTTTCTGGCAAGCGCCCTATAGCAAAAACCTCTCAAAAAAAAAAAAAATTAAAAACCTATAGTACTTATCTAGGTTATGCTTGTGAACACAACATATTCAATTATAAGCTCCCTTTTTGGTCCACTTCTAATTTTGTTGGTACGGAGCTCACTGGCATCACCAGGATAACAGAAAGTAAACCCAGCGCCCATGGTGCTCACTGCACGGCTCATGATCTCTTAACCCAAGTCCCAGACCTGACCCTTCTCTAGGTACAGTTTCCAAACTGACTTAGACAGCTCTCTTCCACAATTTAAACTGCTTGTCACCACTTGGAAAATGCTTTTGACCAGGTAATAGCGCTTGTGCTTGGTTAGCGAAGTTACTGGGTAGACGGGACCAGCAGTTAGTGTAATGGCTATGTCACTGAACTCCCACATAGTCGACTGCGGTTTGCATCCCGGACCTGGTGGCTTAAAACTCACGCTGGGCATGTGTGTATGTGTGCCTGAGATCCCACGAGGAGAATGGAGGCGAAGGGATTGCTGCGTGGCCATCCCCCCTGGGGGGTAATTTCTCACTTTCTGTCTCTCTGTCTCTCTCTTGTCTATCTCTGTCTGTCTGGCGAGAGCACGCACCCTATAGCAAAAGCCTCTCAAAAAAAAGAAAAACCTAAAAAAAAAAAAAGTAAGTTTGATCAGTTTAACATTTCCCTTTTGGGTGTATCAGGGGCCCTCTGTAAACATCTAAGAGTTATTTTGAGGTCAAAGATCCTCTGCTATCACTAAAACTTAAAACAGAAAAAGTTAGTCGTGAATTTATTTTTCTGTTAGATATCTACTATGTAAAATGCTACACACAACACATAGACAAGCAAGTTGGCAACTGTCCCTGTCTCATTTTAATGAAGACAAGAATGACAAAGACAAACAAAGCAAGACGGTGCGCCCGGAGATCACTGTCACCAAGAACCCAAAGTGCGGTCAAACTCAGGCCCTAGGACCTGGAGCTTCTGCTGCGTGCAGCCCTCCTAAAGTCCCAAGAGAGCTCTCAAACTAAGATAACTAGAATCTGACTAGATTCAGGAGCCACAAGTGACTCCAATTTCTGATCCACGTTTGTGAGGCTTCCTTCTTAAGACCTGGGACAAGGTATAAGGAATGTCCTGGTCAGGACGTTATTTGGCCACTCGAAGGTTCCCAGATCTCACTGGGGCCTCCAAATGTTGTAGCGTGCAACCGAATGAACGACCACTAACGTCAGATTAAGGTTAAAGGGAGTCTTTATTAGCTGGCCAATGACTATAGCCTGAGGCTCAGGGCGGAGAGTCAGAACCTTAGCCCCAACCAAAGTTTGAGTAGTCTTCTTATAGGGAGTCAGTTACCAGGGGGTTTTTATGTGAGCAATAACAGAAGTTGAATCAAGCAAGTTAATTACTTTTGAGGGCACTCACTAGACCTTTGTTTAATGGTTTTTGTTTTTGTTTTGTTTTGTTTTGTTTGTTTTTGAGAAGTTTTTGCTATAGGGAGCTGCACTAGCCAGAAAGACAGAGAGACAGAGAGACAGAAACCCCCCCCCCCTCCCCAGGGGGGATGGCCACACCACAATCTCTTCTCCTCCATTCGCCTCTCAGGATCTTGGGCATGCACGCACACGCGCTGGGCGTGAGTTTAAGTCCCACCAGGTCTGAGACTAGAACCACAGTCCACTACATGGGGCTCCAGCGACATAACCATTATGCAAACTTCTGGTCCCCGTTTAATGGTCTTCATGGCTCTGGCAGGGGTCTGGTGATTGATAGTTACATTGTAAAGGAACATTAAACAAAAGGGTTTGGGCTAGTTAGTAAAGATGGTAATGGGTATAGGATGTCCCCCCTGGATATGGTTTTTGTGTGGCTAGTATAAGTTATTTTTTATGGGAAGAGTAAGTAGGTTTACAGAAGTAGCCAGTCATGTAAGGGTAAGGGAACAAAATGGACGAACAGTTGTTCATGTACAAGATCTAATATGTACCTTCCACACCCTGAGTTGACCTCAGTTCTCCACTGTCCGCTGGCCTTAAGTCCCTGACACAGGAACAAAACCTGCAACAGCCCCAGAGGGGACTTGAAGGACAGTTTCATGGAAAAGAACCGTGACCGAGGAGAAGTCACTGAGTTGCCAGCGGAGGCTAATAGGCGATGAGAGGGCTCTGAGGACGGGGCCTTTGCACAGCTTTCCAACAGACGCGTGTGGGTGAGAGGGTGACGTCGGGGCTGGCGGTTCCTCCCCCTCCCGCGCCTGCCTGGTCTCTGCCTGTCCCCGCCGCGGGGTGTCGCAGGAGAGGCCAGTCCAGGCGGACGGAGACGGAGACCCAGACGGAGCTTATTCTTTACAAACCACGTCGCTCTGCACCGGCCCGTGGCCTTCGAGGCCCCGGGTTCACCGCCACCGTCCCCGGAGGTCTTGCGACCCCCGAAAACCACAGCAGTCCGTTCCGTTACAGAAACAATTTATTGGGCATTTCCCATGTGCAAATAGGACCAGGGCACTGGCAAGGCCCAGAAACGGGTGTGGGGGAGACCCACCTGCCCGCCCCGGCCCCAGGCCGCGCCCGCCCTCGTACCTGTGCCCAAACCTCATCCTAAGAGACCGGCGGCATCTCGGCGGGGCGCGGGCGGGCGCGGCGGCC